CTATCATATATGAATTTTCTAAACTATATATATTTAAGTACAAAAACTATTTTGGCATACTATATGTAGATCTTCTTACTTAAGTATAAAGTTAATTTTGGTTCTCTTTGTTTTCTTTCTATACTTTACTTTGTGCAGGTGATGATAATTGTGCTACAATACTTAGTTTAATTACTACTCATTTACAAAATTTATTTAAATTAAGATTTTGGTAACATGTTGACAATTAAATCACTTCAACTTTTAAGTATCGGTGTTTTATTTTGGATTGTGGTAAAAACCGAGTGTGGCGTCGTGGCGCTAACACACATTGTTTGAAATTCTCCTTCAATATACTCCGTAAGTAATTTTGAGTTTTAAATTTTGGGAAAATTTTTATGAAATTACAATTTACAATAAGTACTTTGGGTTAAGAATTTGGGGGTGTTACAATTAATATGAACGATTGAGTCATTCAGACTTCAAGGATGGAGTTCCTTTCATGACACTAATGGGGACAATGCTAGTCTCATTAATTGAACCTAATCCTTTTCATGAGTGTGTGGGGGACTTATATTGATGATAGAGATGAGTTTGAAAATTTCACTTTTTGTATTGGAGTTTTACCGTTGATTTACTTTGGATTTTAGACTCTGGTGTTTTATGTTTTTTTTCACAGTTACTTTGTTTAATATGGAGTATTGTGCAAACTTGGTCCCTAGCGGTCTTCTCCGCGTAGTTTTTTTTTTCCGGCGCCAATCAAGAGATTGGATTGTCCGGCGGTTAGACTGATTTGATGAATATAGTCAGCTAGAATTGCAGGGACTAGACAACTTAGCCACGGTGCAGGTTTTAAGCGATTTAACCAGGGAGAAGAAACCTTCGGTGATCTTTCTTATGGAGACTAAAGCTGGACGACGATGAGTGAATGAAGTAATGGGGAGTCTGGGTTTCTAGAAGGGTTTTGTGGGGGAGAGTATTGGCAGCAGCGGTGGTTTGCTCTGTTCTGGGGAGACAATGTTGAAATCAAAATTTTAGATTCGAATCAATTTTATATTGATTGCTAGATCAAGTCAGATGAAGGTGAAGCTTGTTGGCGGCTCACAGGTTATTATGGAATGCCATACCATCGAAGAAGAAAGGAATCATGGGATTTATTACTTGATTTAGCTAATAGGAGTAATCTGCCATGGCTAGTGTTTGGCGATTTTAATGATATAATGATTGCAAGCGAGAAGAAAAGATGTTTGCCTCAACCATTGTGGCAAATGAGAGGTATCCGGGAAACAATTTGGGCTTGTGGTCTTCGAGATAGTGAGGGTAATTTTATAAAAGCTTACAGCCGGGTTATGAAGGCATCTTGGACAGCAATGGAAGCAGAAGCCATGTGAGTTCGGGAATCCATTGTTTGGGCACGAGCAAATGGATGGAGGAAGGTAGTGATTAAAACGGATGCGGCCATGGTGATATCAGATATCCAAGGTGAGGATCACGACTCTCAAATGGGTTTTATTTTTGAAGATTTAAAATCTCTACAAAGTGAAGATATTAATCTTAAAATTCAATGGTGTGGAAAATCAGCGAATCAGGTGGCTCATACCATTGCAAGAGCATCTCTTTCTATGTCTGGTCAAGTTTTTAGTTTTACAGCACCGCCTTCTTTTATTGTAAACTCTTTGGCTCATGATCTTTTAATATAATATATTTGACGTTTTTTTCTCAAAAAAAAAATATTCTGCAAACTTGTCACTTTTTTTACTGAAAATCATTCAATATATTATATTGAATAGTCATTTTCCGATTGGGTTATAATGCATCATAGCGAAATATAAAAGACAAGATCACCTTCTGGCCTAACAAGGCCAACCGTGCAAGCAAATGTGCTACACAATTGGCACTTCTTCTACAATAACACACCATTATATTTGCCTCATTCTGAATTATCTCTTTAATATTAGCTATAACAGAGTCAAAATAAGACCCCCCAACTTTCTCACCCATTCTTGAAGTTACCATTAGAGAATTGGTTTCTACCTTCACTCTTGACCAACCTTTTTGTTTCACCCACAATATTACTTCTCGCAGTCAGAACCACCGCTTCTGCAATACTCACTGGCTAATCAGCTCTGCACTGAACTCCCCCTTGAACAAACCTACCATCACTGTCACGTGCCACCAACCTTTCACTACATGACATCCTTGAAATAAGTGTAATACATTTTACTCCTCATGCCCACAAATTTTGCAACTCGGATGAACATCAACTTGCCATCAATTTAAATTAACTGTCGTGGGAAGACAACCTGACATGACCTACCAAAAGAAAATTTTAACTTTAGGTTGAATAAAAAATCCCACATACCACCCAACCCAATTGTCTTCCAAGACCTCTCCTCGGGCCCTACAGTATCCACTCTTCACCGTATACTGCCTTTTAGGCTCATCAGCACACAAAAACCCACCAGTCGATTGAAAAGCAAAATTGAAAATCCAGAACATCTCTTACCTCTTCACACCTTTGTCTTTGAGCCTTCATTTTCACAGCTTGGTGTGCACCAACTCCGCTAGGTCCTGAACCGCAACAAGGTTCCCATTGTTGGAAAAATGTGTTAAAATTGCATTAAATGGTCATTTTTCGGGAATTTTTGAGTGGGTTCCACTTCTGATTTGGGTCGGGTCAAAGTGATTTCGGATTGTCCTTGCTTAGGGCTACAATTCGATATATGGTACACTCAAAACGGATAACGGGTGAATGAGAAATTGATTTTCAAAGTTCACTCGTTGGAATGGAGAAAACTAGGAAAATGTGGGTTTCTAGTGTGGTTATTTCCTACACCGGAAAACCAAGGGAATTTGAACCCTTTATAAAGGGAAACCCCCTCTAAGGAGTTAAGATTCCTAAATGGAAAGGCTCTCTCACGCGCGCAGGGGGGTGCAAATCAAATCCCGAAACCAGAGAACAAAAAGCACGACTTGCGGGCGACCTGCTGACACGAATGTCGTCCGAAATCTATCTTCTAAAGATAACATTAACTTTTGTTCTTCTGTAACGTTCCTATTTTTGCTCCATTAACTGCCCAACGTTCGGGAACATTTTCTGGACAGATCAATGCCAACGAGCTGGCTATTGAATACCAACGGCCAACTCCATTAAATGTCATTCACATGCAAACGTTCAGCCAACAAATCCACCCTATAAATAGGCTAGCAGGTGCTTCGCAAATGACACTCGTTCATACACTTCCTTCACATATTTTCAGAGCTAGAAAAATCTCTAGCATTCCATAAAAACTCTTCTGTGTTCCGGCATTGTTCTCGTTCGTTGGAACCTTAGTTTGAGTGCTAAACTATTGTTCGTAGTCATCGTATCCTGGGAAACGATCGTTGCAACGCTCCTAGCACCCCGGGAGGCAATGAATGCGTTTTAAGGAAATCGTGCATAGCATGAGCTTTGGCTATTTCTGCTTCATCCATTTTCTTGTTTTTCATGTATTCATTTTATTTAATTAATTTTATTAATTAATTTCTTTTTTTAAACACACCCAACACCCATCCCACGACAGTTCCAACTCACTACACTCATGGTCATTGTTCTAAAAATCGGCCTAGGCGGACCGATTAATCGGCCTAGGCGGCCCTAACCGTAGAGTCCTAGTCGGTCTAGTCGGCCAAAAAATTGGCCTAGTCGGCCGAAAAATCGGCCTAGTCGGCCGCCTAGGCGCTAGGCGCCCCTCTACTGCCCGTCTAGCGCCTAGCGAGTTTTAGAACAATGCTCATGGTAAATACAATTTTTTGGGAAACCCATATGACTCCCTTATGGAGTCATATGGGTGGTGTGGCACCATCGCTACTACTCATTATTTTAGCGGAATCCTCCACTTAAATAATGGGTCTTAGTGATGGTGTCACATCATCCCATATGGCTCCCTTATGGAGTCATATGGGTGGTGTGGCACCATCACTACCACCAATTATTTTAGTGGAGGATTCCGCTAAAATAATGGGTGGTAGTGATAGTGTCACATCATCCCATATGACTCCATAAGAGAATCATATGAGTTTCCATAAATGTATTGTGGTAAATACATCCCTGAATTCTGGACCACCGCTGATTGGCAAAGCAATTCTGAAACCAAGTTATGCCGATTTGACAATCCAAGCTTTCTAGAGATCGTTGCTCCAGAGAGGACAAGATTCTGACCCCCTGCAACCCGCCGGACTAGCCAGAACGTCGCCGCCAATGATCGGCGCAACCCAAAAAACTCTAGACCTGCTGGGTTCTGTCCATTGTTTGTGCAAAACTTGTTACTATGCTTCTTTAATCGAGGATTTATAGAAAATTTAAAACTACGATCATTTTTGTTTATATTTTTTTTACTAGTTTCTACACGCGCGATGCGCGATTATATAAGTGCCCAATACAATTTATCAACGGAAAATTCCCAACATATATATTGATTTTAAATGATTTTTTAGCATTTCCCATGTTAACATTTATAGGAAGTTAAAAAGCGTTCAATCCTAATTGGAAGTAGTTTAAAATAAGCATTGGGTGAACAATTTTTTTTAACCATGTACGAAAACTACCTAAGTCGGTGGGACAAATCCATTTGCTAAATTTTATTTAAAAAGTAGAAAAGATACAAGAAAAAAAATGTTGGGGGGTTAAACGTGACCTAATAAAGCACAATGAAAAAGAAAATTTAAAACGCAATCTTAAGTGATGGAATCCCAAAGAGGTCCATAAGGCAAAAGGTAAGCTTTTTCTTTTTATAGCAAAACCTACAAGCAATACTTTAATTGGTGCTCCAGAATACAAGCAAGGCAGTTTTTAAAGCAAGAGAAGCATTGCATTAGCTTAGCCAAAGAAATAAGAAGATATGGGCTGGAGTGGGGATGGACGGTGGGTAAGCGATACATGGGTGGTTGTTTAATCAAATGTTACAAGCAGGGTAGCAGACACACTTTGTACACTTATATTTTAATAAATAGACAAATAATAAGGTAACTGCTTATATATAGATTAAAAAGCAGTTTCAGAGCTTTTCTGGTAAGGCAGTTGAGATCCAGTCGGAAGCAGCTAATTGTATCTCCTGCTCTTGCGTTGACACACATATAGGAGTGACTGCAACAAAGCCATTTTCAAGTGCTAGGAAATCTTAAATCTAAATCCTCATCCTCTTCTTGGTGCTTCTTCTCAAGCAACTCCAATATGAAGTATTTGACGGTTCCATTGGGATCAGACTTTCCAGCAACACCAACTGACTCAACAACCTCTATATTATTCCTTTGTGTGGTAAAACGGCGTGCACCACCACCAGCAGATGCATTGCGACCAAGTTGTGCAAGTTGAAAGCGAAGACTTTGCTGGTTGGAAAGAAACTGTGATGCAGCAACATTCCTGTTAGCTGGAACAGCGTTCCAGTTAAGTGTGGATCTCCATACACTCTACTTGGTTAACTTGAATCCCTTGTTTGTAAGCGGATCAGTTGGAACTTCCAAATTAAGCAAGCAGCCTTTGGGAAAAGCACCGTTCTCTTTATCCCTAATAGCTGCGGAGATCAAAGGCAAACAAACACTTCCAGCGCCATTGAAATAAATGTCCTGGCTTTCATTGCTCTTCCAGTTAAGAGATATTGATATGGAAGGAACACCATTAAACAATGCCTCCCTAGCCCCTGCTACAACACCCGAGTAAAACATGTGATGGCCACAGCTTAAGCCCCAGTTGATTCCACTAATTACCAATAGAGGTTTTGGCCATGAAAATAGTGCACCAGATAGTGCCAAAGAGACACAGTCCACAGGGGTCCCAGAAACTCCATAAGCAGTTGCACCATGGATATCAGCTGAAGTTACTGCAACAGTATCTCTCAGGTCCAAAAGGTAAGCTTTATAGATTAAGAAGTAAGTAGGTGAATAAATAAATAAACAAATAAATATGGAGGAAGATTCGAGATGAGATTGAAAGACAAGAGTTTATTCAGCTCCATCATGGGGAGGGTGTTTACTATTATTTTTTTTATTAAAAAAAAGATTAAGGAAATGAAATTTTCAGGGGAGAAATAAACTTCGTCACACTTAGTTTATGAAATATAACTATAACTAACTTACCAACCTTGGCTAGGTCATTGCCCTCTCTTCATTTACATAGTACAAAACTACAAATCATGTACGTAACAGATTAATGAACAAAGTAGTTTAATTTTCATTCCATTCTACTATTATTATAAAACATGGTAGGTGTTTATGAAATTGCATAAGTAAGCATATTGCTGCATCCTGCACTACTTCGCATATGGTATTATCACAACAAGAAATACAAACCATTTATTATATACCGCAGCTCCAAAATCTTAGGCTTGTTTTCTACAAAAATATCATCAACAATAAGCTCTATGTCTTCCATGGACACTTCAACTCCTGTTCAAATTTTCAGATATGAAATATTTCCAAAGAATATAACAAGCACTATAAAGATGAACTACAAGTAATTGTGGATTGGATAACTAAATCAAGGTAACTGGACCTTATAATGGAGAAATGGAGTAATAAGTAGGTATTTTGTTTCTCATTTCTTAGGAAATCTTTAGTCTGTAAAAAGAATAATAATGCAAAGGCTTGACAAAAATAACATAAGCTGTTTTCATACAAACACCACAAGCTTCCGCAAATTCATTGACCTTCAAAGTCTCAGAAGCATTGGACATAAGAAACCCGAACGCAGCGTCCAACTGAGCAGAGGTTTTGATCTGCAAGGATAAAGTTTTCAAGTTAATTCAGCTGGAAGCCAGGAAAATAATGAACATATTACTCCAACAAAACACATAATTCAATGCTTTAACATCAATTGAAACAGGAGTCAAACAGAACAGTATCCAGTTGTGATGCCAATTGGAGTAATGTTGATGTTTTACATTTACTAAGTTTAGCTGTAAATGAGAATAATGAAAAAATGTACACCGAAATTCAAAACAAACAAAAGCACTGAGCTACAAACCTTAGATGAGACAATATACTTGAGCAGTGGGGGTTGATGTACAAGAGCATTTTCTGGAAATTCTGTAGCAACCTAAAATGCGAGGAAAAGAATAGCAAATCTTGTAAATCTTTCGGAACTGTGCTAAAATAGTGAAAGATAATGAAAGCCCGGTTAATTCTTTAAAAACTTGAACAGAATACACTCCTGTATCCAAAGAAATTAATAACCACGTAGCTGATCTAGCTTGTTTCTACGCAGCCTTTGTTTGGTAGAACTTATTACGTACCTTTTTAGTTTTTTTTAAACTACAGTTAAACGAAAAGGATAGGATGATAAAAAAAAAGAATTTCAAACTCATTGAAAACTCTTATAAAATGCTGTAGGAGAGTTGCAATTAAAAAAATAGACTTCTTAATTGATTCATTTTTATAGCCCTGTTATTTTAGAAAATATCAACTGTTACCAATTTCCTCATTAAAACAAAAACCAACTTTGTGTTTTTAAACCTAGCAAATAATTTGATATCCAACTTATCCAAAAACTTTAACTGCACTAATAGTTTTTAACATAATGTCCGAACCATAGCTTTTGAATTTCAGTTCATTTACATCCAGCCACAACTTCTCTGAATTTGTTACTTATAAAAGGAAATCCAAGTTATACATGAAGAATACTACTTCGTAATACATATCCCCGACTTTCCCCTCATTGTTCAATCATCCTAAGTGTAATATTTTGTATGACTATCAAATTCTCAATCACCAATTACTACCATTCCAATTTATTAATTTAACTTAATGTTCCTAGGACCCATTAATTAGACCCTCAAAATAATACTCCGATATGTATTTCATCATTCCATAATATGGAGTATTAATGAGGAAGGAGATGAGCATAAGTGAAAAAATTCGGACAAACGGCATGGAAACAAACCTGGATAGTTGACCCAAGAAGAGGGAAACGATGAGAGCTAGCGCAGTGTGTTTAGGGCGCGGATGAGACCTTCTGTGCCCGAAACCAGGGTTAGGTGCTGTAGAGATTCGAAAGCAGTGGGAGGTGTATGAAACGGTTTACGAAACGGTTTAGGTGCAATAGACGGGAGCTAGTAATGAAAATTAAACGAAAAATTTAGTTCCTTGAAAAAGAGTACACACGCTCAAGCACAATGTACCACCTAATAAAGCAAGTGATTACACCAACACAATTTTCATCTCTAAAATGCCCTTACTCTCATTGAGGATTATAAGTCTTAGATTACTCTCATTGAGGATTATAAGTCTTAGATTAGATATTTTAACTATTAAATGAGGAATATTTACTTCGTATTTCTTTTGTGGAGAAAATTGCATCTTAAATTATAGAAAAAGGTTGAAACATTAATTAATCATTTCTTTCTACCAATAATTTAGAGTCTATTAGGTAACACTGAAATCGACTAAATCGGTTGATTCTGGCTGAAATTTATGAAGTTCTGACTGAAGTGAGTACATTGGTTGATTATGCTGATTTATGAATAAATTATACGGAGTATTTAAAATATATTTTACTAATAAAATAAAGAAAAAATTATATGAAAATATACCTAAAATGGTCATCTACAGTAACTTCATCTATTAAAGTTAGAAAAATAACTTCAACCTTACTTTTTCTTATTATTACACAATTCAACGCATGAAATCAAATGTTACGTGTTTGCTTAAAAAGTTGGTTGATAAGCCTGATAAGCCGATAAGCAAAGTCACCAAACGGGCTCTTAGTGTATGTAAACACATACAAGTATTTTATATGCCGTATTTTAAAATTATTCAATATTCAAAATAGGGGCGGGCATATCGGTTTTGGTTCAGTTCGATTTGGAACGGGTTGGGAGAATTAGTACCAAACAAAAATCATACTATTTTTCAATTTGGTTCGGTTCGGTTTAGTTCAGTTTGGTTCGGTTCGGAGTTGGTATTTTTAATAATATATGAAGGTTTTAGTGAATTTCTTTAGTTCGGTTTAGTTTTTATCGGTTTCAGTTCGGTTCAATATAGTTTGAAAGAAATACTATTAAACTCAAACCAAATTGCATATGATCCGATATTAATTTGATTTAATTTGGTTTGATACGATTTGATTCGGTTAAAGCACACAATATGTCCACCCCTAATTTAAAAGGTGTACGTATTTGTATTTTTGTTGCGAAACATAAAGGGAAAACTGTCAAATTAGCACTCGAAGTATATCAAAGAAAGTCAATTAAACTCTCGAACTAAACAAACACCCAATTAAACCCATGAACTATATAAAAACGATCAATTTTGTAATTAAGTAGGTTTACTCTAGGTTAGCCGGTCATTTTTTTACATGGCATTTCTTTTCTCTTTTGCATTTCTTTTTATTTCTCTTGCTACCTTCTTCTCCTCCCAGTCCGCCCAACCCTTCTTCCCATATTCTTCTTCGTCAGCCCGCTCGCTCCTCACCCTTCCTCCTCTTCTTCTTCAGCCTAGCCCGACCCACCCCCCTCCTTCCTTGTTCTTCTACATCAGCCCGCCCGCCCCGCTTTCGGCATCGATGAGGAGATAATAAATCTAACGAACAACACCAACGGGGTCCTATGATTGGATTTGAACAACCTCTTCATTTTTCTTTATTCCGGCGGGCATCTCCCCTGGCGAAGGCAATGTTTTCCGGCCGCAGAAATGGTGTAGCCGTGGCAAGGTACGAGAGATGCCTCACCAAGCTCAGCACCTGCCGAAGCTATTGGTATTTGGTATAGTAGCTCGGGTCCCACAAAACAAGCAACCATAAGGATTGATGGTTTTCATTCCGAGTGCTCTCTCTGTTGATTTGGGTTATGTTGCTGAAGGAAGGCGGTTGGTGGGCTGTTTAACTGGCCGGTGAAAAAGAATAAGGAAGAATTGGGTGGTCGGAGAGGGCTAAGAAGAAAGAGCAGGGGAAAAATAAAAGAAAGGATAAAACCTTTGAAAACACCACCTGGACTGCCAGCTTTTAATTTAAAAAGAGGAAAGTGTCAGTGTGGTACATGAACTTGGGAGCGGGGGAGTAAAGAGTACATCAACCTACAATTTGGATCCACCGGTACACTAAATTGCCAAAACGGGTCTAATTTAGTCCTACCGGGTATTAGGAATGCTAAAATGCTGAGCTGGCCATTGGATTAGTGAGTTGGGCTAAAAATTAGCTAGGAAGATGTACTTTGTCCTCATGCCACCGGAAATGGAGGGGATTCCGTCGTCATCTCAGAGCATTTCGTCCAGAGGTTTACCAGATTTCCCTACTGGCTATGGCGAGAGAATCCAACAGACCCCGACAGCGGACGGCGCGTTGCCGTTGATGCTGAGAACTGAAACTACCGTGATTGACGCAGCTCAAGAACCCTTCGATCAAAGAGGCGGAGCTCATCTTGGAGCGTCTTTGATCGAAGGGTTCTTGAGCTGCGTCAATCACGGTAGTTTCAGTTCTCAGCATCAACGGCAACGCGCCGTCCGCTGTCGGGGTCTGTTGGATTCTCTCGCCATAGCCAGTAGGGAAATCTGGTAAACCTCTGGACGAAATGCTCTGAGATGACGACGGAATCCCCTCCATTTCCGGTGGCATGAGGACAAAGTACATCTTCCTAGCTAATTTTTAGCCCAACTCACTAATCCAATGGCCAGCTCAGCATTTTAGTATTCCTAATACCCGGTAGGACTAAATTAGACCCGTTTTGGAAATTTAGTGTACCGGTGGGTCCCAATTGGAGGTTGATGTACTCTTTACTCCCCGCTCCCAAGTTCATGTACCAAACTGACACTTCGTCCTTTTAAAAATGACCTGCTAACGGGAAGTAACCCATTAAAATATACGAGTAACATTGACTGTTTTTATATAATTCAAAGGTTTAATTGGATGT